ACGTTGAGGGTTGTGACTCTGTGTGTGTTTGTAGGGGGGGTGGTGAGCGCTGTGTATGTGTGGGAGAGCTTCTGTATGTGTGTGGGGTGGGGGACATTTTATGTGTGTGGAGACATTTTATGCGTGTGGGGAGGGGCGCTAGGTGTGTGTGGAGCGCTGTGTGTGTAGGGAGCTGTGTGTGTGTGGGGGGGGGATGCTGTGTGTGAGTATGGCGCTATGTGTGGGGCGCTGTATGTGTGTGTGGAGCGCTGTGTGTGTAGGGTGCTGTGTGTGTGTGGGGGGGGATGCTGTGTGTGAGTATGGCACTATGTGTGGGGCGCTGTATGTGTGTGTGGGTGCTGTGTGTGTGGGGGGCGGCATTGTGTGTGGGGGGGGGATGCTGTGTGTGAGTATGGCGCTATGTGTGGGGCGCTGTATGTGTGTGTGGGGTGCTGTGTGTGTAGGGTGCTGTGTGTGTGGGGGGGGGATGCTGTGTGTGAGTATGGCACTATGTATGGGGCGCTGTATGTGTGTGGGGGTGCTGTGTGTGTGGGGGGCGGCATTGTGTGTGTGTGGGGTGGGCTTTGTGTGTGGGGGGGTGCTGAGTGTGGTTGGCGGTGGGGTGCTGAGTGTGGTCGGGGGGGGAGGGGGCTGAGTGGGTGGTGGGGACTGTTTGTTGTGTACGTGGTTGTGTAATAAACATTAATAGTCTGACCTGCAGCTGGAGTTGCTTGTGGAGGGTGTGATGGGTTAATTCATCAAGAAAAGGAGGTTTATGGAGCTTAGGTGAGACGCTCCTGTCGTTACTGATGGTAATCAATAGAACTTATCGGAGCCTGACCTGAATAATAGTCCGTTCACTTTACAGTAGATTCTGTGAAGCGCTTTGAGACGTCTCAAAAACATAACAAGCTGCTTCGGTGGGAGATCGGGTTTGTTCTTCCTGACGGTAATTAATGCACCTCTTCATTACAGGAGTCTGACCTTGAAACATAAGGGCTGTAAATGAAGAAAAGATGGAGCTGAGGTTAACAGAAGAGGACTTTGCCTTCGCCTTACCAGTTTATAAACATCAGCTGTGTACGTCTGGGAGGTGGAATCAGTGATGAATGGGCTGTGCAGAGACTCTGTATCTGGACACGTGCGTGTTTGCTAAAATTACTGATTGACTGTCTCTGTTGCTCCAGTTCAGAGAGAATGGGGCCAGAGACACATCACCAGAGTCGGGCATCGTCAGCGAGTCGCTGTCAAACTGGATGAGGTAATTCAGCTTTTTATACTTTTTAAATTGCAAAATGGTTTAAAGAAAATGTTTTGTTTTAATTGCACTCAACAAAACCAGCTTCACTGAGGATAATAATATCTATTCCTTGCATTACATTGCGTTCAGACGTCTCAAAGTGTTTGATGTGGCTGTCAAATTACAGACATTACAAATTACAGACAACGAGTGCTTGTTGTAATCTCATGATTTTTGAGATATTTTATGGCGATTTCAGGCTCTCCCCCCCCCACCCAAAAAAAAAGACACCTTATTCAGGTCTGAAACTGAGAGACTCAACAAGAAGTTATATTTTCACAGGGCCTTTCATGTTGGGAGGACGTCCCAAGTGCTGGGCAGTCAGGGCTGGCGGGGGTCACTCAGGCTCTGGCAAGGAGCCGGCAGCACTTGAGTGAATATATTACAGGGATCATCATTCCCAAGCGGGAGGATTACACTGATAATAATAATCCTGGCATTTGATACACCGCCTTATCATGTCTTCAAGGCGTCTCAAAGCACTTCACAGGATATACTGAATTGATTGTATATTTTGTGGGCCAAACGCAGCAGCCAATTGCACACAGCAGTGACCCACAAACAGTCTTGGATTGAAGTGACCGGTTTATTACTGTTTTTGAAGGAATTAATAGCTTACGGCTCAGGTAAACAGAATGTAGAGTAGGGAAAGTTTCCCATCATTTCACCCTGCCAGGAATCGAACCCAGGTCTCCCCGTTTGCGAGGCGAGTGTGACCGCCACGAACTGTGTGGTTGTTCAGCAGGAGAAACTGACCGCCAGCGCTGTGGTGATCGAGGAGGACATTGGCTTTAACACTGTGGCTGAGGTGGTGGATGTAATGACTGGTGTGTTTGATAGGCTGTTATGAATATAAGCTCTGTGCACTTCTGGTAATCCTGTTTTGCACTTTCCTTGTTCAGTTTTACACTTTCTTCTGGACATTTCCTTTATACTTCCTCCAGATGTTAGTTTTCTCTTGTTCTTCCACATATTAGAACAACAGATTACATCTGTATAGCCCATTCACGTCGGGAGGATATCCCAAGGCACTGAAAATGTCACTCAATGTGTCTCAATTTCCCCTTATATGCCATTAATTTAGCTTTACGTTTTTTCCATTTTATCTAGATTATCATCAGTGTAGTTTGACACCTGGTTTTGATACAGAATGGCATTCTCTGGAAGCAGTACCTTCCAATAAGGCATTAAAAATGTCACATCCGCACTATTCATCACCTCCATGATGAGCAATCTAGCACGGAAAAGAATTTAGCTCCTCATAATGACACATATATCTTCCCGAGTAGATATTTATTGCAGTGTTCTCTCTTTATGTCCCTATTTAGCTGTGGTCCTAAACATATTCTCACAATTTATCTGTTTTTTCTGGTGTTGAGGCACTCATCCAATCAGTGGGTTTTTCTACTTTCTTTCTGATCTGCCATTTCCGTTCATTTCAAATTCATTCTTTTCCCAAAAATCTCTATGTATTTTTACATTTCTTCAGTCTCCAATCTTTTGTTTTCTTCTTTCTTCACAGTTCTAAACCTGTTCATCAGTCTCATTTTAGTTCTGTCTTGAAGTCCGAACAGAGTATTGGCCTTAATTTTCACTGCGTAAAATGTTATAATCATTATAAACCTTGCATTTGATATAGCACCTTATCCCTTGAGACCTTTCAAAGCGCTTCACAGAATATACTGTAAAGTGGATTGACTGTATCTTGTGGGCAAAACGCAGCAGCCAATTGCGCACAGCAGTGTCCAAAGTCATAATGTATAACTTGCTTTTGTACTTCGTTTCTGCATCCACTCTGCCCAATGTCTCAATATCCCCCTTGTTATAAGCCATCAATTTACCTCTGCCTTTCTAACAACTTACCTTCACCAAGTTCTCCCAACTTTACATATTCTTCCAGTATTTCTTCTTACCAAAACTGGTAAACTTGCTTCTTTATGTAATTTGAACCACTGGTATTTTCATTCTTTTGTGGACCCTAAAGATACCATCAGTTCATTGTCATCCTTTACTTTTATATTCACTCCCTTTAGGATTTCCCCCGCATCAATAGTGTAACTTGTCTTCTTTTCACTGACTCTGGATTCCGTACTATAGGAAGAAAAATCACTGGAGCCATTTTACACAATGTGAAGTGTAAGCACTTAAACACTTCTTTTAATGCCAAAACATTTGCACGTCTCACGCCAAATCCTTCACTTGTTAAAAATAAAGAAATCATTCCTTGCCTTTGTTACAGCACCTTCATGTTGGGAGGACCTCTCAAAACGCTTCACAGGATTCACTGTGATGTGACAAAGGTGTTTTTTGTAGGAGAATGTGGCAGCCAGTTTGTACAAGGCAACAAACAGCCATGAAGTGAATGAACAATTCTGATGCTCGAATGTTTCCAGGGGTCTGGGCGACCCCTTGGTTTAGATGTCATCTGTCGCTGGGAGATCTTCAACCATTGCTGCAACAACAGGCACCCATCAACTGTGGATCACTGAGCAAAATGGGAACAAGACTTGACCAAGGGCACAGTTGTAGAGATTGTGTTTTATAGCAGGGTTTCAATGGGGAGTGTGTCATGTGGAGGGAGTTCCAGAGAGCAGAGGACACAGTGGCTGAAGTTGAGTCCATTATCAGAGGGTAATGTTCAATGTGCTGGTGCGAATGCGTTTTACATGTAAATAAATGCTTTTAATTACAGCAATGTAAATGAAATGCATGTAAATAAATGCTTCAGCAACTTGTAACCAGAATGCCTGTGTGCGCGCTGTTTGTCTGCTTAAGTCGATATAATAGACACACATAGAATTATATTAGTCCCTGAAAATCAGAGCAATAACCCGAATTTTATTACAACTAACAGTCATTGTTTTTTTACACGTCAAAATTCTCAAAGCTCTCGCTGACAGACGCACAGAATTAAGACCTACGCGATGTTGACGAGAGTCGGCTGCTCTCGTTACTCCTTCCCTTTGAGCCGCAACACTGAGGATTTGCTAAACACTGAACACATGGGACAGTCCTGCCAACAGTGCAGTGAGTTGGTGACTCATGCTGGGAACAGTCAATCCTATGTACTTACAGGGTGCAACTCCGGTCAGGGCTGTGCAATCTGGACAAGGTACAGGAGGTGAGTGAAGTTCTGGCCCTGTCATATCACCGATGACTTGTGCTCACGTAGCGCCTTTCCTGCAGGAAACCGACTGGGCATCCAGGCCTGGGCACAGGCGGTAGCTCTGCTGTTGTCAAGCAAGGCCTCACAACCTTAGCTCAAGGCTCCCAAAAGCGAGAAAGATTTCAATATGATGTGAAACTCGCCTGTAGCCGGATTTTGTTAAACCCTGCCCCACCACCATGGCGTGTTCGTACAGTTCCAAGGACGTTGACAGTCTCATCGGCATCTCGTCCTGGAGGGTGGGCCGGGGCGGTTCGATGCCCATGTGCGCTCTCTCCAGAGAGCACACGTGGAGGCCCGAAATTCCGCCCAGTCTTAGCCTGTAGGGCCATTCCAACTTCAAATCTAACAATTAAAATGAACGCTATCAATGGCAAGCTATGTGGTTTTAGCTGGTTAGACTCCAGCAGTTACCCCATTGCAGACTCTGGGGTCCCTGAGCCTTGGCTCTTGCCAACTTGCGCCTAATACTTTTCGGAATTAGGTAAACAGGATGCGGTAAACAGGTAGAGATTTCATTCCAACAATCTATCTAGAATTTCTACGTGTTGGTGGGATGTATGGAATTCTCAGCTTGGACACTTAAACATTGTGATGGGTTTCAAGGCATGTCAGGATATCTCTGAGCACACGGAAACATCCAGGAATTGTTGGAAAACTCGGCCTTGATGTGGAAGCCAGCTATTTCCATTAATTGGGGAAAACGAGTTTCCAAATCCAAACTGAAATGAAGAATTGTCTCCAGGATTCTGTGCAATCTCACATTTTTTTAAGACAGAACGGTGTTGCAGGCTATGGCTAGGTGGAACTTGGGGCCGCGGCGAGTGGGAGCCGGGCGACATTGAAGCCAATTAAGCCCCAAGTGTTGCCGTCAGTTAACTCAGCTGCAATCAAACTATGTGGCTCTGCTCCATGTCAGACCGACCCCACCGGCCCACGAGAGGAAACACCAAGTAAGAATTGCACAGTTTCAGCTGCCGGTGGATATCTCCACTACCTCAGCCACAGTGTTAAACCCAATGTCCTCTTCGATCACCACATCGCTCCCCGTCAGTTTCTCCTGAACAACCACACAGTTCGTGGTGGTCACCCTTTCAGTGTAATCCTCCCGCTCGGGAATGATGATCTCTATAAGGTCCTCACTCAAGTGCTGCCGACTCCCCGCCAGGACCTGAGTGACCCCCGCCAGCCCGTCCCCCACACTCCGGGGGGCCAGGCTCAGAGTCTGCTCGGCCGTGCCCAGCCCCGGCTCACCAGGCGGGATCTCCACCATCTCAATAGTCTGCACGTAGAGGTTCAGAACTGTGTGGGTATCGGCAGAGCCGGGGGGCTGCGTCTCCGCGCTGTTGGTGCTGCTTTGGCCGGATTCCTTCTCCAAGGAGGCCACGGCCCGGGCAACCTCGCCCGCGGTCCGCGCCTCGCTCCGCTTGTGCGCCATCCTGTGCCGCTTGAGGGTCTGGGTCATGGCGTAGCCTTTGCCACACACCTCGCACCGGAAGGGCTTCTCGGTCAGGTGGACCTTCTGGTGGCGGCGTAGCTTGGTGGCCAGCGTGTAGGCCTTGCCGCACTGCTCACACTTGAAGGGCCGGTAGCCGGTGTGCAGCCGCTCGTGGGCCCGGAAGGTGTGGGGGTCCCGCAGGGCTTTGCCGCAGATGGTACACAGGTACACCTCACCCGTGTGCGAGATGCGGTGCCGACGCAGCTCCGGCAGCTGCGAGAAGAACTGCCCGCAGTCGTCGCATTTGTAGGGCTTCTCGCCGGTGTGCAGGCGCTGGTGGCCACGCAGGTTGCCGACCTGCCGGAAGGCTTTGCCGCAGTAATTGCACACGAACGGCTTCTCGCCCGTGTGCAGCCGCATGTGGTTCTTGAGCGAGCCGGGGTTGGACAGCTCCTTGTCACACACGCTGCAGCGACAGGCCCGCGGGTTGCCCAAGTTCAGGTGTACTGTATATGTATGTGTGCACATGCACTTTACATGTGCGTGTGTACGTGTATTGTACATGTGCGTGATTGTACACGTACTGTACGTGTGCATGTACATGTACTGTATATGTGCATGTGTACTGTATATGTATGTGTGTACACGCACTGTACATGTACGTGTGTACGTGTACTGTACATGTGCGTGTGTGCACCTGTACTGTATATGTGTGTGTTTGTACACGTACTGTATGTGTGCGTGTGTACATGTACTGTACATGTGCGTGTGTGTACGTGTGCTGTATATGTATGTGTGTACATGCACTGTATGTGTGCGTGTGTACATGTACTGTACACGTGTGTGTGTACATGCACTGTACATTGTGTGTACATGTACTGGAATGTGGGTATGTGTACACGTTACTATGTGTGCGCGTGTTTACATGTACTGTGTGTGTATATGGGTGTGTGTACACATATGTGTATATGGGGAAACCCCGGATGATGGCACTGTGGTGGGTCCGGGTGCGGGTTGGCTGGTGCGGGGGAGGATGGTTTGCGGGGTATCTGCGAGGCTGTGACTGCGGATCGGCCGCTGCGGCTTTGCGGAGGGGAGAGAACAGCTGATGGGGGCGGGGGTGGGCGGGGCGGCCGTGATTGACAGCCGAGACGGCCAATCAGAGCCAAGAATGTATCCGCCCGCCGTGCTGCTCAGCCAATAGGAGCCGGAGGTTGTGTGTGGGGGCGGGGGGAGTGGGGAGTGTGTGGGGGAGTGGGGAGTGTGTGGGGGAGTGGGGAGTGTGTGGGGGAGTGGGGAGTGTGTGGGGGAGGGGGGAGCGTGTGGGGGGAGGGGCAGCGTGTGGGGGGAGGGGGCAGCGTGTGGGGGGAGGGGGCAGCGTGTGGGGGGAGGGGGGAGCGTGATGGGAGGGGGAGGAGGAGTGTGATGGGAGGGGGAGTGGGGAGTGTGTGGTGGGGGGGAGTGTGTGGGGGGGGGGGAGTGGGGAGTGTGTGGGGGGGGAGTGGGGAGTGGGAGGGGGAGTGGGAGGGGGGAGTGGGGAGTGTGGGGGGAGTGGGGAGTGTGTGGGGGGAGGGGGAGTGTGTGGTGGGAGGGGGAGTGGGGAGTGTGTGGTGGGGGGGGAGTTTGTGGGGAGGGGGGAGTGTGTAGGGGGAGTGTGGGGGAGGGGGGAGTGTGTGGTGGGAGGGGGGAGTGGGGAGTGTGTGGGGGAGGGGGGAGTGTGTGGGGCGGGGGGAGTGGGGAGTGTGTGGTGGGAGGGGGAGTGGGGAGTGTGTGGTGGGGGGAGTGTGTGGTGGGGGGGTAGTGGGGAGTGTGTGGTGGGGGGAGTGGGGAGTGTGTGGTGGGGGGGGAGTGGGGAGTGTGTGGTGGGGGGTAGTGGGGAGTGTGTGGGGGGTAGTGGGGAGTGTGTGGTGGGGGGGAGTGGAGAGTGTGTGGTGGGGGTAGTGGGGAGTGTGTGGTGGGGGGTAGTGGGGAGTGTGTGGTGGGGGGTAGTGGGGAGTGTGTGGTGGGGGGTAGTGGGGAGTGTGTGGTGGGGGGTAGTGGGAGTGTGTGGT